ACGGTGACCTAGTAGGTCACCACCGACCCACTACAACGAAGGACAACAGGGGAGGTCGGAATGGCCCATGCCCAGTTGCCCGCAACGACCCTTGGACAGGGTCAAGCCATAATGCGGGTCTGCAATCGCGAATTTGCTGTTCAATGCCCAGATCTAAGGCGCGCGCTTTACATTGAAGTGCTGATGGTCCGAGAACTCGGCTCGGACAACACAGCGCTTCAAATTGTGCTTGCCTTTATTCCGAGTCATCCTGCAGGGGAGCCTGCGATGACATTTGGATACCTACCAACTAAGCACAGAGACTTGCGCATGACCACGCCAGGCAAATCATCACCCAAAGTGCACTTTTCATTGCAATATTTGATCCGAAGTTACTTCAATATCGAGAATGTGGTCACAGTCCGACATGCCGAGAGTATCCATCGACTACCAGCTGTCACTTACGCTGGCAGTGGCGCCCTGGTCTACTATGACAAAGATGTCACGCCAGGGTTTCACCGCTGCGAGTCGAACGGTGCGGCCCTTGACATGCGCGCGAGTACTGGGTCTGCACATGAAAGGGTAATGCAGTGCATGCAATCATCTAAGCCTCAGGCCGGCTTCGATGAGGACCTCTCGAAATCCAAGGAGAATGTAGACGGCCCCGCACCGCGCGGCGACGCACAACCGGCGGAAACGCCTGGGAACGCAGCGCCCTCACCTACAAGACGCCCCCCCACGATTCGCGAAGAATCGGAAGCCGACCTCGAGACCGACGCCCTCGAATCTCGGCATGCAGAACTTCAGGATGAACGCGAGCGTCTCGAGACTACGACACTCGAACCGCTTTGCAGAATACCCGTTATGATGGCATCAGAACAGACGGTCTTGATTACCGTAGCCAACGAAGACACAGGCACTCGTCATCGCGGAGACGCGCACTACCACAGTTCAGACGTACACCACGTCTCCGTGATTCCGCGCTGCGACGAAGATTATATTTTTGATGGCGACATAAATGGCTTATATATGTATATCTATAGAACTGTGCTTTGCCGCCGATATGGCCAAGGTCGCACTTGCGGAACTAGAGAATAGTCGATTACAGAACGACGCAATACGTATTTGCGTCTCCGCAGCCGCTAAACGCGCGGTGGTGGCAAAGGAAGACGACCTCCTCGCTGGGGCTGAAATATTAGCCAATTCAGGGCCGGTAGGCAAGGCACTCTACGCAGAGTTAGAAATTTGGCTTGATAGCAAGCGCTTCAAGATGGCATCTCTTCCAGACGTCTCAAACGCCATGACCTCGCGCCACTTATATAAATGACAGTTCGTCAAGAATGGTAAAGGAGAAATGGTAAAGACAAGTCGCTTGATACCTGTCCTGCGAGGATTCATGGACGTGGGGACCTGTGATGTAGAAACCTTTTCAAGAACAGCCAGAAGGTCAATCCAGCGTCTACTGGCCAGCGAAGGCGCATGTGACCCTGACAGGATGACTGCGTCTATGGATATAGCTATTCCTAAATGGCCTTACTTTCCGTGAGCTTGCAGAAGCCACCGGAGAGCGGGGGCGCATCGCATGCCTTGCGCGCCCACTTGGATCGGCTGCTGCGTTACGAACTCTCTCTGGGTTCGAGAAGCACGACGAAAGTCGCCGTTGTCTGCGGCGCCCGGGGCCCAGCGCTGGGACGACGGACGCTCCGCGAGCCTCCTCCTTGGGACTTCGCAACGCCGCGCGCGGCTTTGGCCTGCAGGCCACGTCTCGCGACGAAGAACTCGAGACAGCGGAAACGCTACTGACGGCCAAACGCGCGGGCGAAATCAATGTGACTGGAGAGGAGGAAACTGTCGCTCGCTGCGTGAAATTCGTCGAACACACTTTCGTCGCTTGCGAACTCAACAAACACACCTGCACTAACTGCGCCGCCAGATACGCGAACGAACTTGGAGATGTCACCTTGGATCAGGACGGATCCATCAAGCAGCTTCGCCCAATCCAACACCCCGACGCCACAAGTGCTGAGACTGAAGAGAAAACGACGAAACTTGTCGCAGGCATGTTCGTCAGCCTCCGTGGAGCACTACACTAGCATGCGCTCTTATAGCCCAGGCCTGGTCGATGGCACGCGTCGTTTCTCTACGACGGGTTCAAGAACCCACCGACATTCAGGCGCGGTGACTGAGGGCAACGACGCGGGATCTGCAGAGCCAGCCTCAGGATATTTCATACCCTGCTATGAAGCCCACCGGAGAAGTCGACCTACACAGCGACTCGGGTTATCGACGATTGACCGGGGGCGCTGAGGACGAGACGAAAGGGCATGGCATTCGAGGTGCCAATCTACTCCGGCGTGGACACGCGCGCGACAAATCCGTCGCACACTTGATCGATGCCCTCTGCAAGTCGCATCGACTGCAAGTAAGATCGCTACTCTGTGGAGACGCTCGCAGCAGCCCATAAGGTCGAGGACTGTACCCGTCCATTCTTACCCTGCGTGAGCTAAGGGCGGGACTGCTTACACCCGCGCAATTCACACATATACTTAATTTGCGGTCTTCGTATCAACGTTACCCGCCATCGATGCGGAGTCGGCATTCGAATCCTTGTCCAGCAAGGATCTTAAGAAACCTAGAGAATGCACGCTGTTAGGACACACCAGCTGGATAATACATATGATGGATAGACGTATCGTACAACGCATACAACGGAGTGATACACGGGATATGACTGCCGATGGACATACCCAAGGCAGTATATAACGGGACCTGTTATTACAAGTAATTGCGGGAAAGGAATCATTTAAGCGTGAACTGAAGACTTACATTCCTTACAGGGCCCCGACCTCGAAGGTTGAGCCCGGCTCGTGACGAGGCGGCGGAATGCTCCCATGTGGTGTGGAAACACGCGTTGAGACAAGCTTGCCTTTTTGCAATCTGCTTACAATATTCTCCTGACATCTTCAACTCGTTTACGGTGCGCGCGTCTTGGGCCCAACTATTTGGGGCCCCGGATGGCTGCCGCTGGCAAGTGGCCATGCCAGCCCATTCAGTCTTCATGTTTAAGTTTGCAGGCTCGACCTTGGCTGGCCAAGTCGGGCCCTGCAGACCCAGCCTGGCGCTGGCTGGCTGGGTTCGGCTCGGACGATCCCGAGCCCTATGGCAAATCGCCATTTGCACTCTTTCAGAAAATGTAGCCTGATCTTGCGGCTCGCCTCGTTCGTCTCCCCCCTTCGACGGTGAAATAGGGGTCAGAGGGGTATGCGTATAGCGAGCATAACGCGCGTGTCGTCGGCGTCTGGCTCCAGACGCCGGCGCCCTATTTGCTTAGTGCTCAGATTTACTGTGGACGCAGCGAATTGTTATCGTACCCGATCCGTTTTGTGGACGGGACTCCATCTTTCATGTCCCTTCCAGCCTATCACCACATGGTCTTCATCCTGTGTTTTTACCTAACAGCGAAGACTGATAGGTTTCTAGTGGGCTCAAAAGAGCTCACAGATCACTCCACAGGGGGGTCCGGGCAGGTGTTGGGAGTTGCCGGGCGGGCTGTGCCCACCTCGTTTTTCACCAACAGTCACACACTTCGTGCTCTTCGAGTTCCCAGAACTCCATTCCCAGGCTCATTCTGAATAACCGGATGCAACAGTCACACACTTCGTGCTCTTCGAGATCCCAGAACGCCATTCCCGGGCACATTCTCCGGATGCAACAGTCACACACTTCGTGCTCTTCGAGTTCCCAGAATCCATTCCCGGGCCACATTTTGGATGCCCGGAGCCAACTGTAGGCCACTTCGTGCTCTTCGAGTTCCCAGAACTCCATTCCCGGGCCACATTTTGAATGCCCGGAGCCAACTGTAGGCCACTTCGTGCTCTTCGAGTTCCCAGAACTCCATTCCCGGGCCACATTTTGAATGCCCGTAGCCAACTGTAGGCAACTTCGTGCTCTTCGACTTCCCAGAACTCCCATTCCTGGGCCACATTTTCAGCAGGGGCAAGAGCACGACGAGGAGGAGGACGAGCAAGACCAGGAGGACGAGGACGAGCAGGAGCAGGACGAGGAGCAGGAGGAGCAGGAGAAGAAGGACGAGCAGGAGGAGGAGGAGGACGAGCAGGAGGAGGAGGACGACCAGGAGGAGGAGGACGACCAGGAAGAGGAGGAGGAGGAGGAGGGGAGGGGGAGGAGTACCAGGAGGAGGAGGAGGAGGGAGGAGGAGGAGGAGGAGGAGGAGGAGGAGAGAGGAGGAGGAGGAGGACGAGGAGAGGAGGAGGAGGAGGAGGGGGGGGGAGAGTACCAGGAGGAGGAGAACGAGGACCACCAGGAGGAGGAGGAGGAGGAGGAGGAGGAGGAGGAGGAGGAGGAGGAGAGAACACCAGGAGGAGGAGGACGAGCAAGACGAGGAGGACGAGAACGAGGACGACCAGGAAGAGGAGGAGGAGGAGGAGGAGGAGGAGGGGGGGACTACCAGGAGGAGGAGGAGGAGGAGGAGGAGGAGGAGGAGGAGGAGGACGAGGAGGAGGAGGAGGAGGAGGACGAGGAGGAGGAGGGGGGGGGAGAGCACCAGGAGGAGGAGAACGAGGACCACCAGGAGGAGGAGGAGGAGGAGGAGGAGGAGGAGGAGGAGGAGGAGGAGAGAGCACCAGGAGGAGGAGGACGAGCAAGACGAGGAGGACGAGAACCAGGACGAGCAGGAGGAAGAGGAGGAGGAGGAGGAGGAGGAGGAGGAGGAGCAGGAGAAAGAGGAGGAGGAGGAGCAGGCAGGCTGAGGCTGAGGCTGTGACTGCGACTGCCGTTGCCGCTGCGACTGTCATCGCGAATGCGACTACGACTGCGAGAACAGCAGAATTCGACAACTGGATTTTCATCTGAGTCTTAAGGGGAATGCTTTCAGATATGCTTCTACACATCGCTGTTAGGTTGCTTTGCCGGGATAATTATTATGGCACCCAGAGGCCGAAAACAGACCCTAATCTTTTGATCCTTTCCACGGCGCGATGGAGTCTGGGTCCTTCTCCGAGGTACAGCTACCACGACCTCGCCAGCGGCACCGGAGGCTTTGCGAGCAGCAGCAAGCTCGGCAGCGGCGCCGCGGGCACGGTGTACCGCGGGACGCTCCGGGGCGGCACTGAGGTGGCGAAGTTTAAACAATGTAGATGACAGGGGGGGAAATTCATGACGCTTCGCGTATCCCCCAAAAACCCATCCAGGAAAAATGCCCAGGGGAGCTGCCCTTATCGGAGGAGCGCGGCATCATGTGGAAAAATCGGAGAGCCTCCTTGGGCCGAGGTTTTTTGGATGCCTCTCGGCGTCTCCTGGGATATCTCCCGGGGTCTCTCGGGGTCTGTTGGAGGCAGCTTGGGGCCTCTTGGCGGCTCTTCGGTGACCTCCTGGGGCGCCTTGAGGGGTTCTTGGAGGTCTCTTGGGACCTCTTGGGGGCTTGTTGGCTGTTTTCAGAGCCTTTTGGGGCGTCTTGGGTGCCTCTTGGGGGTCTCTTGGGGGCCTCTTGGGGGCCTCTTGGGGGCCTTTGGGCGCCTCTTGGGTACATTTCGGGCCATGTCGGGGCCATCTTGGCGGCGATCGATCAACAAGGGAGGGGTCCTCAATTCGGGCCCCCCCCCTTCCCAGTGAGGGTGAGGTTTTAAGCCGATATGGCGTGAGGTTTTTCTCTTCATCATCCTCCTCATCATCAACACCATCATCATCATCACCATCATCATCCTTTTCCTTTTCCTTCCTCATGCTCATTTCTGTTTTCCTCCTCCTCCTCCTCATCTCCTTTCTTCTCCGCGCAATCAAAAGATAATCCATCCGTGCAATCGAACATAATGATATATACAAGCAATCAAACATGACACTAATACCTTACACTCAAAAGCAATCGAATACCATACAATCAAATACAATAATATACCAACACAAACAAAAACAACAAGACAACGAACTCGGTCCACGAATCTTGTGAGGGTACCAACAAACAAAAGAATGCGAGGTTAATCGCCCCAACAACAAGAATCAATGGTATTCGTGTCTTCGGACTTCCTCAGGGCTCCTCCAGCCCAGATCCGCCCAGGCAATCTGACGGCTCGAAAATCATTGATGTTTGTTTTTGTTGTAGCCCTCCCAAGTTTGTTTGTTGTTGTTTCTTGTTGATGTTGTTTCATTGTATGTATTTCCCGTGTTTTAATTGTAGGGGTTCCTCATTGCTTTCGATTATGTGGGTTTTCTACTGTTCCCCATTGTGGAACTTTCTTGTTGATGATGGCGACGGTGATGAAGAGGAAGGAAGGAGGAGGAGGAGGAGAAATGATCATGATGATGCTGATGACGGCGATGAGGAGGAGGGAGCGGAGGCGGGGCTTCTGATTCTGATGGTGCTAATGATGGGAAGGAGGCGTGGATGATGACGTATGGTAATGGTGATGGTGACGAGGGCGAGGCTGCCGGGCGAGGATGGGGAGGAATGATGATGGTGGTGATGATGGTGACGATCAGGACTCCCGTGAGCCCTTGTTTTCGTGTGCTGTAGGAGGATGCGGACAGCGAGACAACGGCTGTGACAGGCAGCAGCGAGATGTTCGAGACGATTGGTGCTAGAGCGTGCCCGGTCGAAAAGCATTGTAGAGTTCTCTTTTTGTCATCAACGCTGTGAACGACGATAGGAGCAGCAGCGTGCACGGCAGAGAACAACACTTTAGAATTCGCGTCGTGTCATTCACGCTGCGTTCGTATGCTACAAGTGGGTACCATCAGCAAGACAGTGGTGGTGAACAGGGAGACATTATGATGATGATAGTGACTATGAGGAGGAGGAGGAAGGGGAGGAGGAACAATGATGATGGCGATGATGATGCTGCTGATGATGATGATGATGGTGATGATGATGCAGATGATGATGATGGTGATGATGATGCAGATGATGGTGGTGGCGATGATGGTGATGATGATAGTGGTGATGATTTTCTTCGTATGATGACGTTGGTTATGATGATGATCAGTTCGAGGAGGGGCATGAATGGTGATGATGACGACGATGAGGATGATGGGGAGGAGGCGGGATGATGATGTTGATGATGAGGAGAGTGTCAATAATGATGACGTATGATGGCGATGATGACGATGCCAATGACGATGGTGATGGTGATGATGATGACGATGATGATGATGATGATGATGATGATGATGATGATGTTGAGAATCAGGAGGATGGGGAGGATAGATGATGATGATGATGATGATGATGATGATGATGATGATGATGATGATGATGATGATGATAACGATGATGCTGATGATGGCGGTGATGATGGTTATCTGGATGATGATAATGATGATGCTTCTGCTGCTGCTGATGATGCTTATGATAGTGAGTATGCTTGCGATGATGATGGTCATTGTGGTAATGGGGAGGAGGGACGGTGATGATGAGGAGGATTTGGAGGAGGAGGGATGACGATGATGATGCTGGTGATGATGGGGAGGAGTCGGAGGAGGGGGACGACAATGACGAGGAAGGACGGGGCCCGGAGGATGAGAATGAGAAGGGGACGGCGGCGCTTTGATGAAGTGTCCGTTGTATCTGTATTGTGCGATTGTGCTCCGAGGTCCTTCTCCGCCTCCTTCCCTCCTCCTCCTCCTCCTCCTCCTCCTCCTCCTCCTCCGCCTCCTCCCCCTCATAATCATCATCATCATCATCATCATCATCATCATCATCATCATCATCATCATCATCAGCATCAGCATCATTAGCATCATCATCACGGCCATCATCATCGCCATTATCATTGTCGCTCCTCCTCATCCTCCACATCGTCACCATCATCGTCATCATCCCTCCTCGTCCTCGTCCTCGTCGTCATCACCATCATCATCATCATCATCATCGTCATGGTCATCATCATCATCATCATCATCATCATCATCATCATCATCATCATCATCACCATCATCATCATCATCAGCATCATCAGCATCATCATCATCATCCATCCTTCTCCTCCTCCTCCTCCTCCTCCTCCTCCTCTTTGCTTCCCATGGCAGGACGGAAGGGGGGGGGAGCCCGTACAATGAAAGACAATCAGAAACCTCTACACTGAAAAACAAGGAGAACACTAGGATACCCATATAACAAAGAACAATAAGACATGCATACAATCAAAAGCAACAAAAGCACGTCTTGGGTCCACAAGGGCACCAACAACACAACACAAACAACACAAAAAAACAAAAAACACGTTGAGGGTACCCCCAAAAACAAGCATCAATGGTTTTCGAGCCATCAGACTGCCTGGCCGGATCTGGGCTGGAGGGGCCTTGAGGAAGTCCGAAGACACCACAGCCATTAATTCTCAACCATCCTGTGGTGTTGGGTCCTCGTTTTGAAGAGACAGCGCCCCACGTTCTTTCCTTCCTTCCTTCCTTCCTCTCGTCTTCCTCAACCGCCTCCTCCTGCTCCTCCCTCCATCCTCCTCCTCCTCCTCCTCCTCATCATCATCATCATCATCGTCATCATCATCATCACCATCATCATCATCATCATCATCATCATCACCATCACCATCACCATCACCATCACCATCATCATCATCATCATCATCATCATCATCATCATCATCATCATCATCACCTCATCCCATACGTCCGTGTTATCCATTTCGGCACATCCATCACAAGGTTCGTGGCCCCATAGGGAGCTCCACCGAAAGCCCCAGTGGCGCAGTCCGCATGCGTCCCCGCCACCCACCCATTTTGGCACACCCCTCACACGGTTCGTGGCTCAATAGGGAGCTCCACCGAAGGCCCCAGTGGCACAGTTTACATGCGTCCCCGCCACCCATTTCGGCACACCCCTCACGCTATAGGGAGCTCCACCGAAGGTCCCAGTGGCGCAGTGCGCACGTGTCCCCGCCACCCATTTCAGCACACCTCTCACACGCCTCGTGGCCCCATGAGGGCCTCCACCCGATGTCCCACTGGCGCAGTTCGCATAAGTTCCCGCCACCTATTTTGACACACCCCTCACATGTTTCGTGGCCGCATAGGGAGCTCCCCCGAAGGTCCCAGTGGCGCAGTTCGCATGCGTCCCCGCCACACAGGTCGGCACGCGCCTCACGTGTTTCGGGGCCCCATAGGGAGCTCCACCGAAGGTCCCAGTGGCGCAGTTCGCATGGGCTCCCGCCACCTATGGTCTTCCTTCGCCACGAGCGCCCCGCATCTTCTGGGTCCCCCCCCCGCACTCGGGCTCGGGCCGAGCGCTGGGGAATCACACCCGTCGTGCGCAGGGCCTGGCACGCCGCTCAGACGGCCGTGCTGGCCCCCCTCCCGTCGCAGGGACAAGCCGCTCAGGCCCGAACTCAGCCCGCGGCAGACTGAATGTCGCGGCTCGAGCGCCAGATCGAGCATGTCCAGTCCCTTCCCGACCATCTCCGCCGCACGACGCGACAGCACCTCACCACGCTGCGCGAACTTCACACCACCGTCCAACGTCGGACCGCGCTCGCCCCTTCAGCGACGAGTGTCTCCGCCTCCGTCGCAGCCGCCCTCCACGCGGCCCAAACGCTTCTCGTTAGAAGCGCCAGCTAACATCCTTCGAGGCCCGTGCGCCGCCTGGCAAGCGTCCATTGTGGCCTTCCCCACTGCGGGTCCTGAAGGGGTGCTGGATGGATGCCGCCACTTCCAGCGAAGTACCGTCACGCCAAAGATGGGTGCAGGCTTCGGACGGCTGCGAGGCAGTGTCGCAGTACACCTTTTGCTAGCTGGGAGGGGGGGTCCCCTTCGTCCCTCCCTCTCCCTCCAACCCGGCCGTCGGCCCAAGACGGGTGTGAAGGGCCCCTTTTAGCCGTTTCGCACCGGCCAAAGTGCGGGGTGCGCCGGCCGCTTGCCGCCGGGCGCCCGGATGACTCGTCGTCCAGCTGGTCCGCTCGCTCTCTCGTTCTCTGTCTCTCTCTGTCTCTGTATGTATACCGTTAGATCATTACGTATCCATAAACCGTTCTGTTTATATATATATATATGAGTATACCAGTAGATGTACGGTTGCTAATCGAGCAACGTCCACTGGCATGTATCGAATGGCCTTTGGTCCACCCCGCCACCGCGCTTGGATTGAGGGTTGGAGTTATCAGGGATGCTCCTTGGGGTCTCTTCGGAGCGCTCTCGGGGGCCTTTGGAGGGGGAGTTTCAAGACCTGTTGGAGGCCTTTTCGATGCTTTTTGGGGCCCTCGGGGCCGAGGGCTCGAAATGTCCGCTCGGGTCCCCCATGTGGGCCCCATCTGGGAACCGTATCTGGGGCTTCTGGGGCCGTCTTGGGCGCCTCCTGGGCCGTTTGGGGGCCCCGTTGGGCCGTTTCAGGGCCGTCTTGGGGCGATTTCGGGGGCCTTCTTAGAGCCGTCTGCGAGCGTCGGGTAGTTGAAAAGGCGAGAAAACCCCAAACATTCACAAACCAACAGGAAATCAATGATTCTGGCCTCTTGGAGCCCTCTTGGGAGGCCTCTTGGAGGCTTCTTGGGGCGTCTTGGCGGCCCCCTGGGCCGTCTGGGGGCCATCTTGCGCGTCTTGGGCCATTTTCTGGGCCTGTCGGGGCCCTCTTGAACCGTCTTTGGGGTCCCATGGGGCCCTCAGCCTCCGCGGGCTTCGGGCTCCTCCTTCGCCATTCGTCCATCTGCAGGCCCGCATTTGTCGCTTGCTCTGTGAAGATCAGCTTCTTACTACGTCCGCCCTGCGGTCATGGCTTCGGGCGTTGGCACAGGCGACCCGCACCCGCCTCGCAAAGGAAGTCGGTCGGGTCCTCTCCAGGGGAGTCGTTGTACCTCGGTTGTCGTTCCTTGCGGGGACCTTCGGTGCTGTTTCCGATGTGGATGACCTGATGACATGCTCCACTGTAAAAGTTGTCTTGCCAGTAAATCATCGGCTTTCCCGTGGATGCCAAGTGTTGCGAACTTGCCAAGACCGTGGCAGCCCCTGCTGGAAGATGATGACTCGCGGTTCTCGGCGATGATTTCCGCGGGCCTTAAGCGGGGCAACTATCGTGATATTGCTGCTGCAGCCTGCGTGGATGCATTCCTGAAGACACACGCTCACCATCGACTGGGCGCGGCTCTCCAACGCTCTCATTTCTTTCTTCACGCTCATTTGAGGCTGCTCGCCAGAAGGTGCAAGAAAGTAGCCGTTGTGTTCTGCGACTCTCGCCCGCGGGATCCAAGGCGACCACTTGCATAACTTTATCCCTAAACTTCTTGGCTGTCCTCCTGTGCTCTGTGTGGATTCAACGCTTTCCCCCCCTTTCTGCCTGGCCCTTCGCTCGCTCCCGATGTTGTTGGGTCTCTTTTGCCGTGCCCTTCGGATCTTTGACGGCGCCCCCCTCTTGCCATGGAGGCGATGCGTACGGTCATGCTGGTGTGCAGGGTTCTTATTCTCCTGATGGCAGTTGAGTTGCGCGAGAGCGAAGTGAACACCGCTAGCGAGTCATTCTTCGATATTTTCTCAGCGTTGTTCGTTTTGCTCTTTTCGTCGGCTTGCCTCTTACCCTCTTTTGCCTTCATGAGCGGGTCTTTCAGTCTGTGCCGCGGCTTGGGCCCTGGCCCCCAGGGAGTCGTCGGACCCTTTCCGTGCACAGCCCCCCCCGCTAATTGTGATGCCGTTGAATTTGCTGCCGGTGCCCCTGGTGTATTGAGCTAGGGGCTTTGTTGACGGCGTCAGTGACGGTGCCCTGGGTCTTCGCTTCTCTCCTTCCCTGTCCTGTTCCTGCCTCTCTCTCCTGCGGGGTGGGGTTGCTGTTGGGCCCTTGTCTGTGTTTTCCTCGGTGTTCCCCTGCTGCCCCCTGGTGCTATTGCTGGCTGCCTTGACGGCTGCGGTGCGCTCTTGTGTCTGCGTGTCCCCCGCTGCTGCTTCCGCTGCGCCGCTGCCGCTGCCGGCGTTGTGATGGCCTGGATTGGGCTCTTCGTGCTGGCTCGGCCGCGGGCGGGTGGGGCGCGCGAGCGCCGGCGCGCGCGCGCGGCCGCCCCACCGCCCTGCCGCCGCCCCACCGCCGCCCGCACGCTTCTCTCACCAAGGACCCCCACGTGCTTCTCTGGGGAGGGCAGCCGTCTCAGTCAGACTTCCGACGCGTGCCTTTGTCGGTGGATCCATCTCTGGTCCCTGCGCGGATTTCCCACCCACGACACATGTGAGGCAGGCGTTGCGCAATCACCTGCCTTTATGGGGCATGGGCTCCCGCCTTCGGACGGGCGACTGCAGTCCTTCTCCTGCGTCGGGCGCGCCCCCCCCGCCTTCGGTCGCAGCGCGGCTGCTTCCGTTGGCGGGCGGTCCCGACGCGCACCCGCCCGCGAGCGAAGTACAGTCAACCCGCATAGTCTGGATGAGCGACTTCCAAGGTTACCCTGGCATCTTTCCCTTTCGTCCCCTATCCTTGGCCGCTTTCGCTGGCCACGCCCCGCCCGCCAAGTGTCGACATGGCTTTCCAAGGCCCTTGTATCCGTACCGCGCATCCCTATCATACGGATTAACTGTACGTCGGTGTCTTCGTTGTGGGAGTGATGTTGACGGCGAGCTCCCGCATCTGCTGGCAGTGCCCTTCTCCTCTTTCTTTGTCACCTCCTGCTGGTGTTCCCCCCTCGCCCTCTGCACGGAGCCACTGAGCCCCTCCCCTGCCTGCACCGTCGTGGCGCTGGCCATTTCAGAACGGACCAGACACATGGAATTGGTGTGTGCGCAAGCGGTGGGCAAAACTCCTCCTCCTCCTCCTTTTCCTCCTCCTCCTCCTCCTCCTCTTCCGCCCCCTCCTTTTCATTTTTTTCCTCCTATTCCTCCTCCTCCTCCTCGTCCTTCTCCTCCTCCTCCTCCTCCTCCTCCTCCTCCTCCTCCTCCTGGTCATCATTGTTCATATTTCTCCACCTCCTCCCCATCCTCCTCCATATCTCGATCCTCCTCCTCCTCCTCCTCCTTCTCCTCCCCCTCCAATTCCTTCTCCTCCCCTTCCTCCGCTGGGGGTTAGGAGGCTGGCTGACTGCGCTGGAGCTGAGTGGGCAGGCACAAGGGGGGACAGGGGACAGGGGAGGTGGAAGCTGGGGCCGGGAGGGACGCCGGGGGAGAGGGGATTTGGAAGCTGGGGCAGGGGAGAGGGGACGGGCGAGCTAGGTGCGCTCGCGTCATATGTGACGTCCTACCTCTCCCTCCCATCCCTTACCATGGCGTAGATATCTCTATTCGCACAGTCGGATGCGGAGCAGGGCAACGATCGCGAGAGGGTACGCGATGCATGGTAGAGCACGCATGGCATGGCGTAGAAGAGCACGGCAGAGCGTAGCATTCCACAGCACGGCGTGGCATTTTGCAGTGAAGCATTGCATCACAAAGCATTGCAACGCAAACCATGGCAACGCACAGCGTCGCAGAACGCAACACAACTCAGCATGTCATGGCATGGCGCTGGTTTCCTTGGAGGATAAGTGGATCGTCTTCGAGAGGTCTGGGCCAGTCTGGAGTCGTGGCTCCATGTCTAGCTCCTTAGGCTCCCCGTAAAGCTCCCGCTTGGAACTTCCTGGAAGCGACGACGCCCCAAAGCGGGGGGGGGGGACTTCTGCGGCCCAAGAAATCAACGAATCCAGACCGAAGGCGGAATCACTTCTGATGGTTTTTTCGGGGGGTCATTTTCATAATTTTGGGGCCAAGTTGGAAGAACAGAAAACGCCCGCGCTGCAGCGGGAGCACGATTTGGAACAACCAGAGGCGCAGAAATGGGGCCAGCGCCTCAGCGGGAGCAACATCTTGAAACAACGGAAATCCGGCGTGTATAAGCCAGTATAAGCGGAGATGGGCCAGACATTTTCCGGACGTCATCAGGGGAGCGAGGAGAGGTAGCATTCATTCGGTGCAGTTGTAGCGGGGGGGGCGGGGAGGGCATGGCGGGGGGAGAGGTGGCGCGGGCCGGCGGGCAGGGGAGCGGCCTCCGCCGAGGTGGCCGTGAAGAGGCTCCCAGACGACGGCACCCTCGGAGGGTTCGAGGATGGCCACCGTCTGGGGACGCCTGCTGCGCGCGTCGCGCCGCCAGTTCTGGCCCCCTGCCCTGTGCACATGCGGTCGGGAACTTCTGGACAGCGGACAGCGTGACGCTCCGCCGGTCCTGGCCCACCGCGCCTCTGTGCTGTACGCCATCCACTTCCCAGCCCGCCGGCGACAACGTCCCGAGCCTTCCCGAGCCTCCCGTTCCGCGGAGCGGAGCGGCACGCTGTCCATTCGCAAGGCATAGCGTGTCGCTGGGGCCGCCGTGGCGGCATGCTATCCAGAAGCTCCCGACGGTAGTTTCCTAATCAGCGTATCGCTGGAGGGTTCTGATAAGTTGTGATAGCAAAGGGCCAACTGGGAGTCCCGCGCGGGGGACGGGGGCAGCCGTTTCGCTTGAGACGCTGTCACAATCTATGCAGCAAGTGCGTTCTCGCCGCAATGCTGGCTACATGTTTGGCCCGGACGGCTACGATCCCCTTATCCACAAGCACTGAGGTGCACGTGGCCGTGCTCGCACCCCTGTCCCCGCGTAGCCGACCTCCTGCTCCTCGACCCGCCTCTTCAGCTTTGCTCCTGTCGCAGGGTGCGTTGCTGGGGTGATGGTCTGGGAACGGTTTGGGCTGAATCGAGTCTGTGATGATGTCCAGTCGTGCCAATCGCACGGCAGACTTGGAACATCCAACATCAGTATAAACAGGGTTGCTCCGGAAACGTTTCGGACTTCGCTCTGGCTAAGAGCGGGCGCCCTTCCAATGCGCCCCAGTGGCATTGCCCGCTTCGTAGTGATCTTGCTCCTCACGATAAGATGCATTCGACCTCCGAGGGGGGTTGGGGCAAGCGGCTCCTGGATTGGCAACCGTGGCACCACGTGCATGCCAAGCGACGCCCTGGACGGCAGCGATAACGCTGGCAACACTCCTGAGTGCACAAATGAGCGGCGCGCGCGACCTGGCGTCATGCTGGGACGGACTCGTCGGTCTTTCGGGCCCTCTCTCTCCTCACCGAGACCCTCAGCGTGCCCATGAGCCAGCTAGGTCGGGACCCGGTTTTCGCCGCGGAAATGTGGACAGAGGGTGAGCCTGCGGGCTACCCTCCCACGGACGGGGGCCAGCTCGAGCTGGCACTGGAGGTGGCGACGTGCAGGGCGGAGCTGCCAGAGGCACGGACGTGCCCAGCCAGCCAGGCCCCGCAGGAGTCAAAGCTCCCAGAGCTGAGTTCCGAGGCCATCTTGCGGCTGGTGCGCACGGTCATCCCAGGCCAGCTCCCAACGCTGGCGGTGGCGTCGGGCTGCTCGTGCCGGAGGCGCCAGGCATCTACGTCTACGCGAACTCCACATTGCCATGGCGCTGGTGCACACTGCTCTGCCCCCACTGCCAGCGGAGGAGGGGTGGTGAAGTACGTCTTCTCAGGGCAGAGGGTCAGAGTATTATACGCCGGGGAGGACAAGGACCACGAGAAGGTGATGGCCTGGTTGGCTCGGAACTCGGCGGCGGTCGGGATTCCGCACAACAAGTTTTTCCCCATTCGGTTTCGAGCGCCGCTGGCGACGCGCGGGAGGAGGACCTCTCTGGCGGCAGTCTGGCCCGCGGGCCGCCTGGCGGGAGCGTGCTCGACCCGCTGTCGGGTGCGGTCGTTGGCGGGCGGCGTCTACGCGTGTTCCGACCGTCCACCTCCGTGGCCACGATGCTGGCGCACGCGGCGGATTGGCAGGACCAAGCGCGACGAGGTGGCCAACGGGCGGTCGACGAGCCCTCGCGCGTCATGCCGGCGAACGACGGCGCCCTGGACTCGCACATGGCTCTGCCCTGGGGGGCAGCCGAGGCTAACGCTGCCGTAGTACGTGGTGGAGACGTGGACGATCTTGGCGAAGGCTCGTGGCTGCTTGCGGAGCTCCTGCTTCGGTTCTCCATCGGTAATGACGTGGCCCTCGAGCGTGATTATTTCGTCACGAAAGATGGTTCGAACGGACTGGCCCCTCTGGATGGCTGCTGGGTGCACGTCGTGGGGGTCCTGGCTCGGGACTTGGCGTCGTGGAGAGATGCACGCCTCAAGCTCTTGATGATGGAATTAGGACGCGTGGACTGCGCCGTGGAAGGGAACGCCACCCCAGTTGGACCCGCCGCCGAGGGGGACGTCGGCGCCGGCCTGGCACCGCGCCTGGGCATGCGAGACTCGGCAGTGGAGAGCCAGATCACCCTGGATAGTGCTCTGGGTCGAGTGGGGTGGGACGAGCGCAGCGATCGTTTCAACGATTATCGCAAGGCCGTGGGAGAGAGCTTCGAGGTAGAGCTCGCGCACCCTCGCGTCGAGGGCGCTCCCACGGCGCTGCGCGCGTGCGAAGTGAAATTGAGATTACAACCGGCTCCTCGAACCTGGTTCGAGAAGTTTCTGAGGGACAAGCAAATCGCGGCCGGAGGCCGCGTGGCCCACGAGCTGAGGACGTTGATGGATATCATGGAGGAAGCGGCATGTTTCGACCAGGCGAGCGTGGGCGGAATGATTTGCCCGGAGATGGCCCATCGCCGCTTGGACCTCCTGATCGACGCTTGCCAGCATGGAGGTGCCCCGTCTTTCGCCGTGCCCCGCTACTTGTCGCCGCTGGTCGGTAGCGACCAGATCGCGGCGTCCACGCTCCGCCCGCAGATCGATAGACAGCCAAGGACGACCACGAGGCGTTGCAGGGCATGGCCAAGGCCGCGGTTATTTTGGCGGGCAGGAACATGGAGCATGGGCGCGAACCCGGCGGCGGCCGCGGTCGCGGCGGCAAGCTTGGCCGACGCGTTGGCCCGGGCGCCAAGTTTACCTTGGCGGCGCCCGATCAAACATGAAAGAGGTCTTCAGCTCAGGGAGGGAACTGGCCTGGGCCGGTCACGCAGTGCGTCGCTGCCGCCGCCCTGCTTCGAGCGCGACATCTCCCGTGTCTTCGGCGCCCCTTCCTGTCCGCCCTCGCGGGGCTCGCATGCGCGCTCGACATGTTTTTGCTCAGCGGCGGCTTGCTGCAGAATTGGTGAACAGTTTTAGTCGTTGAACCGGGCGGGTGGCCAAAACAAGGCCAATTCAGCCCTCGTCGATCGCTGGCGAGACCGACGTAGTCAGCGGCGCGCATGGCGGTCTGGCGCAGCGTTTCGCCGACAGGCCGCTCTTCGGCAATGGGCCGCAGCTCCCGTCAACGGCATCGGGCCGCGCGCGGCGCTGCGGGCGCTGGCGCGTTGAGCTCGTGGCGCGTTGGCTCGCCGAGGTCTGGGCGTCTTTGCAGCGCGGCGAGATCTCGCTCACTGGCGCGGCGGACGGCCGCGGCGGCATTTTTGATGTGACGCGCCACGAGGGCCCGCATTGCGAGTTGCAGCCGCTCTGCGGTTGATCGAGGGTTTGTTTGTATATATGAATATATGTATGTAAATATACATAAGAGGGGGCGCGCGCGGGAGGCGGTGGCGCGGCGGGCAAAGACGAGGGGGGGAGAGGATCAGCAGGGCGAGGCTCGCGAGGGAGCGCGATGGGCACGCGGCCCAGATGCAGGCGAGCGCGGAGCAGAAGCGCGAGGATGTGGAGAATGAGTGCCAGGAGGGCGAGGAGCAGGATAACGGAGATCGGCAAGGGGTGAGGATCGTGCGAGTTTGGAGCCTGGACCACCTGTCGAAGGACATCTTTGAGCCGGGCATCGCGTGGGGCCACCTTATCCCCCCTCCTCCTCCAATGGTCCATATGCCCTTGCAATTGGCCTCCTTCGCCCCCTTCGCCTCCTCCCCCCTCCAACCTCTTGCTTTTGCCTCCTCCGCCTCCTCCGCCTCCTCCACCTCCTCGTCCTCCTCCTCCTTCTCCTCCTCCTCCTCTTCCTCCTCCTTCTTCCCCCTCCAACTGCCAGGGGCCTCCGTCGGCGAGCGATCCGGCGACCTTGCCCGGGTGTCTCGAGCGAAAGCCCCGGGCTGGGACGCGCCTGGCGCGCCCCCGAAATGGCGCCCGGGGGCGCGGCGGGGCTTGATTTTCTCGCGCGCCAGGGGATCGACTTTGCGAGGGTGTCTCGAGCGAGAGCCTTGGACTGGGGCGCGCCCGGCGCGCGCGGCGGGGCCTGTTTCTCTCGCGCGCCGGGGGGGCGATTTTGCGAAGATGTCTCGGGCGAGAGCCTCGGATTGGGGCGCGCCCGGCGCGCGGCGGGGCCCGACTGTCCCGCGCGCTTGGGGTTGGGATCCGCAGAGACTCCTTCGAGTTATTTAGAGGAGAACCGCGATTGCGATATCGCCCCTGCCTGATTGCCCTTGCTATGCATGGGCCCCATCGCCAAGTGAAGTTCAAAGACTAACCGCAACCTGGCGCGGGGTCCGAACGCCCGAGGTCTGCTTCTGGCCACGCCGCAGGGATAAGAGAATGTCGACATCTTTTTCGCTTATAATCACGGGCGCAACAGATGAGCCAAAACTCGCGGGCTTGTCTGACCCAGGCTCGCACGCGTTCCTGGGCCCGACGAGCTGCGCGCGAACGTCGATATCGATGCCGACGGGCAAACGGCCGCTTCATCGCGCCGCCCGGCGCGGGATTCTCATCGAGCGAGGGATTCGGCAGGGTCGAGTCGGAGCTGCCCGTCGACGTCGAGGTTGGCCCCGCCCGGGCGCCAGAGTTGCCGAGCGCCCGCGCGCGCGGTGGCAGCCGACGCAATCGATTGCTTCCTCTGCGTGGAAAGCCTGATGGCGCTGGACAGATTCGTCTGTTCCCCGGCTGCCCCCGCGCACGCGATGGGCCTCGAAGTGGTCGGTGGCGCGGGGGTGGCGCCCGTCGCCCTAGGCTGGCGCTGCCGCGTCTCGGCGCGCTGCCACTGGGCACTCCGCGGTCGCTGCGCTTTGGCCGGGCCGCCAGCGCGACCCGAGCCTTGCGATCGCCCTCGGAACCAGGCGCTCTTCGGCAACTGCTCTGCGACGTGGCCGCCTCTGCTGTCTGCCGTTCCGCGCCGCGGAGCGCGGTCGCGGGGGCGCATGCGTCTGCTGGGAAGGCCTTGGGGCCGCGGC